ATCTGTCTAAAAGCTGACATCACTTTCAAAAAATCACTGTGAAAGTTTGGATGTGTAAGTGTTGCTGTATATTTTAGAACAGCACTGGAAATAAAGCAGCTTTTTTGATGGCATAAAAACCAGTTAACATTGAATAACTTGCTCTTCTGACCTTTTCACCTTGAAGAAGATTAATGGTCATTTAGATCAGAATTTCCTGCCTGATCAGGGGTCTGAATGCTTCAGGGATTCAGACAAAAAATCACAAAGAAAGTCATTTCACCTCTAGGTCACCAGCACAGACCTATGGTGTCTCTCTAGTGACCATTAGATGATTGCTTAGTAGATTATGTGCAAGAGTTGGTGGTCATAATCCATTTTCCAATGGACCAGGTCCCTGCCTCGTGAAAGCTGTCACTACATGCTTATCTAAGCAGCAAAAAATGGGAATTAACATGAACAGAGCCTGAATTGTGTTTGTCTTGCATTAGTAAAACCTCAGAGCCTCTCTAACACTTGTGTCAGTGGATCAGTCCTTTCCCAGGGTCATCTTTCCAAGCCAGGAAGGGTCGATGCAACGTCAGTGCTGTCAGACACCGGTTGCACTTCGGTGTCTGGAGCACGGGGTTCCTGTTCAGACGCGCTTACAGTGGCACAGCTTGCATTTCTGGACATCCTAGAATAGCACATCCTTGTAGCCTTCGTATTGCCCAAGTTTAGTTCTTGGTGTGATGAAGCTGATGTACTTCATACCAACCATATTGGTATTTTAAATGGAAGCCCTAGAATGAGGACTACTCGGTTGGTAAAACTGAGCACATTGCTGCGGGCCAGATTTCGATGGTAAAGTAACCGTCTGTGACTTCTCCTGTCAGTAATTATAATGTCACCAACTGTAAAGCACAAATCAGGGACCTGGCCACGAGAGCCAAGCTAAAAACGCCAACTCGCTGAACAAAGGGTCGGGTGATGGGTGCTAGACGTCTAAGCGTGTCCTTCACTGGAGACATCTGCATGTGCATAGCAAACAAGGCATTGGTAAAAGAACTGACGTGTGCGCAGGCATATGCATGCAGTTGCTTACAGCTGAGACACCAAGCTGAATATGTAACAAGGTTACATGCTAGAGAGTATAAAAAGAGCTGGGATTTAGGATTCTACCTCTTTTTGGCTGACCAAGTTGAGAGACTATAGAAACATAAGGTTCCAGGGCAACACTGGAGATAAGAACATGCATTTTGCGAAGCATTGTAAAAACCTGCAGGATGTAGAATCTAAAACTATGTAGTTATCGAGGAGAATGTGCCATGGCTTTTGCAAAGCCCCTGAAATACCTTTCCTGTTCTGTTTAGGTTTTCTCTCTCCCGGGCTTACTTCTGTACAATGCTTTCTTTATAGTGGATAGAACAACTGAGCAATTACAACTAAAACTGCATTCATTAATAAAGGTAAGGTTTTAAGTGTAAAGGCTAACAGGACAGGGAAAAAGGACAGTTAAAGATCATCAGTTCCACAAAACATCAAAGATCTCAGAAGCTACGTGACTTGAAAAGAGCTGACCTCTATGTAGCTTATGTGGTTGAAAATCCTCTCCTATGTATTTGCAGTATTAATTCCTCTTGTTATCTGAGGAGATCTCCTTTAATCAGATTCCTACAAACAAGTCAGGTACTTAGAGCAGAAGATCTTTGACACCGCTGCTGGCAGTGCCAGTAGAGAGGCTGAAGACCAGTGCAGTAATGAGACCAGCTAACCCATCTCATCTCTCCGAAAACCTTTTGCCATCAGAGGGAGTCCCCCTGTTTCCCTCTCCAGTCCCATAGCTGTATGCAATGTGGTCATTTAATGTGCTTTTTTTGCAAAAAGCTACCTCAGAAGTCTCACATTTCAAAGACACAGCAGTTCTGAACCGATGCTGCTGCTCTGCTCTGCTCTAAAACCTCCTCTGTCACAGTGCCATCTCCTGTGCTATCTTGCTGCTTCACGCAAGCGCTGTACCTGAAATCTGGATCAAAAGGAGACATAAATTTGATCCTGCTTCTCTGCCTTTAGTGCAGCTTCTCCTACCTCCTATTTTCTAAGTTTCTGGCACTGGTGCCCTAATAATGCTGGTCCTTGTTTTAAATTTAATCTCATTTTCACACAGGACTTAAGCCAGAGAAGGCAATGCCATCTGATACCCTCCAAAGACCTTCATCCCACAGAGCACGTGTGTTGTACGTGGCAAAAGGAGCTTGGTGGCTGCATTGAGGACACTAGAGACAAGTAAGGTGACAGTTTAGGTTGCCTCATTCTTTAGACTTATCCGTGCAAGAAATCCTAAGTAGTTTGTGCCTGGTTACCCAAGTAGTGGATTTTCTTCCTGATGGTATGAGATATAGTATGCAGGTGCAGCAAGAGAGCTACAACTGCACAAATCCAGGAACCACAGGACAAGCTTTGATTAATGTGCTTCTTTGTCCAAAAATGGCTGTATTCATTATCAGGAGCTGGTAGTTAAAATAATCTTAAAATGTTTTAAAGGAAAAAATGAGGAGTGAAAAAGCCTCATCCAAAAATCACTGTGCTTTATCAGAGGAACAAAGACCTCACTGATCAGTTAGCTTGAAAAATGAATAAATCAAGGACAAAGTTGAAGTTTAGCATCTTAATAACCTATTGTTGTCACAGCCCAGTTTGAACATATCGCTCTTTTGTTGACATTTTTAATGCTTTCTGTGGATTACCAGTACACAACCAGTATATGAAAGCTTGTTAAGCCTCCACGTGCTCAGCCTGGCCCTAGCTTTAATGCTGGCTTAGTGCAATCTCTGCTGCTGGCACAAGGTCCGCGGGACTTAAACCTTGCAGTGCTGGGCATTGTGTTTCTCGCTAATCATTGTATGGGCTTACTCAAGTGTGCTTTACAAGCTTAGGGCAAATTTGTGAAGGTCCAATTATCTATATGTAACTTTTTTAAGAGGAACCAACCAGGCTTCTTTTTTTCCTCTAGATCCTGCAGTATCTTTCTGTAACTAGTGGGGGGATGCGTCCAGCCTGGCTTCCAGCTCCAGCTGGTGTTTCCTTTCCTGATTAGCAGAGAAGGCAGTGCATTAGCCCATTCAAACTGCACAACTCTCGCATCCCTCTCTCCTCGTCCCCTATGGTGAATTTAAGTTCAGAATGTTTTATATATGGCCATTTGGATAAAATCTGTTATGGCAGCTTCCAGCCAGGTGCAAATTAAAATGCTAGGTTTGATAATTCTTTACTTACTCACAGAGCTTTCAGCCATGCAGTGCTACCTTAATTTTGAACTGGTATTGCAGACTGCTGTAAGTTTGAGGCAAAGTTGTTGATTGCGTATCTCTCTTCTTTCATTTAGAGAAAAATAACAAACTATGTATGAGAATCTCACTTTATGTTTAGCCTGGTTTTTTTCTGTTGGTTTTCCTTTTCAGCCATTGGCAATTGAAATTCTATGGCCCTAAAATGAAGCAAAGAGATTTTCCTTCCTCAAAAAATGCCACTTGCATTGCATTGCACGGACGTGTTTTAGAGTTAGTGCCTGCAGCGTGCATGTGCATTTTTATCCCATCTTATTTTTAAACTGTGCATACCTCTTGTTCACAATCCTATTCCAAAAATACCTGGGGTTATCCTTATCATATTGCCCAGCTAACGGTAAGAAATAGGCTCAAGTGGCTCAGTACGGATTAGATTCACCTCTTATGCAACAGGGTGCAAGATCCAGGGAGAAGCCAGAGACCTGCCTCATGAAGAGCTCTGCCCTCTGCGAGCCAGGGAATCCCTTGGCAATGTCTCTTGCATGTGTCAAAACGCTTCCCAGTGACTTCACTGGAAGAATGCTGCACTGGAAAGGCATTCATTTGTTTCCAAAGGCCAGGATAAACAAGGTCGAGAGGTTTCTGATACTTACATTAAATCACTCAAAGGGTTAATTACAGTTTTTGTAACCATAATTAGTATTTTGTTATTTGTTTCCTTTTAAGCTTACCAGCTCTGGCATACTTGGGAAATAGGACAAGTGCCTACACTTGTTTCTTCCAAATGCAACTGAACAGATCCAGCCCATGGGAAAAGCATCCTTGCCATCTCTCCAGAAGGACATTTTGCCAATTTTCTGGGATTTTCTGCCCCATTCACAAGGTTCGCTGGGCCTTCTGCTGTTTCTACCAGTTGTTTTCCCCTCAGCCTCGTCTTACATCTCTTCGTGTTTTCCACCTTTCCCTCCTTTCTGCCCACATTCCCAAAAATCAAATAGCTTCCTCATCCTGCACCTGCAGATCAGGTTAGATGGATGTTTCTTCAGACACCGTATGTCTGTTCTTGTGTGCTGAGTTGTCTTTCTCCTCAGATGTCTCTGTTCACCTTTGGTTGCCAAGTTCTTGCACCAGATGTTTTGATCATTTACTGACAGCAACTGTGAGTTCAGGTATTTGGTAAACGCAGCCCACAGCAAGGAATGGATTCCACATGTTCACTTGGGAGTCTTCAATCAAAGATATACCCCAGTGCAAAAATATTTCAGGGTCTTCTCATGGCTGCAGTGGCACCATGGGAATTAAATTCATAGCTTATAAATTGTGCTTAGCAGTGAGGAAAACACTGAGCCTAGTTTCTAAGTATTTTATGTAATGATCTGTAGAATCAATAACTGTTTGGTTTCCTGCTCCCACCACAGGCTGGACTCTTGCTGGGTCAGTCCAAAAGGAGATACCATGTGAAATCGTGTGATGGGGCTCTGCAATCAGTTCCTCAGTTGGAGATGTGGAGAGCACCTTGCTCAGCTCTTCATCAGGTTGCATGCAGTTGAGCTCTGTAGTACACTTCCTTGGCAGGTGTTATCACACCTATTTTTTTAGCTAGATAAACCAAAACATTTGTCCCAAATAACTCTATAAATAAAGCTAAAAAAAAATAACCCAGTAGTGTCCCTGCCCATGCAGAAGGGTTGAAAACTTTAAGGTCCCTTCCAACCCAAACTATTCCATGATTCAGTATGGGCAGTCCTTCTCTTGCAGCAACATCAAAACTACCTGTAAAACCTAGGGCATTCAGGGCTCAACTACCCTGTAAGCTCTGGTCAGTAGGAAGCCACAAACTCCTTTTCATAAACAATGGAAAACTCATTCCCAGATGAGAATTCCACATGAGGCATGTCACAGAACAGGGCCCTTCTGAGCCATATTTTTCTGTGTAGAACTAATGAGAGAACCTTTTGTCAACTCTCTGCACAGCGACTCATCCCCAGAGCATCATGTGCCCTGTAAAGATAGGTGTTCAAAGCCTATATTCTTAAAACCTAACCTATAGCACAGCGAATGCCAGCTGGTAACCAGCTCTTGAGTCCCACTTCAGTTTCCACATCCCCCTGCCCCTCAACACGATGAAACACCAAGTGTTTGTTCTAATGTTAAACACCAGCTATGATTTTAAAATACCTTTAGGTCATACCTACAAATAGGAAAACAGTGACTCAGAGCCAGAAGTGCCCCTTCTCATCAGACTCAGAGTATCCCAAGGTGAAATAAAGGGTGGGTTAGATTTGTTATAGCTTTTTTCTCTTTTTTTTGGTCAACTATTCAGTGTTGCTGTTCATTATTTTTTCTATCCTTTTGAAAGCTTTAAAGCCTCCCTGCATAACTGCCTCTGCTCCATTCACTGCTGAGTGGACGGTGCGCTGATCTTTTTCTCGGTGGGTAATGGATTTGGTTTGATTGCTTGACACAGGAACAATAGAGGGATAAACAATTGCATTCGCGCCCGTGCAGCTCCCCATCTGTTGAGCGTGTGCGCCTTCAGAGGGAGCCAGGCAGGGACAGATGAACACGCCAGCCGAGCCTGATGTTAATGACATCAGTCATACAAGCAGAACATGTGGCACAATAAATCAAAACCTAATTGAACTTTTGCTTGATTACATTGCCATCCCACTGCCCGTTTCAAACACGGTGCCGTTTCCTGGGACAATACCCCCGGCCCTGCAGTGGTTTTGCTGCCTATGGGAGGTGACAAGTGATATCAGCTTTTCTTCATTCATTTCTTCCTTGAAACAGTTATGCCTTCCACTCAAACAAAATGCTTCCATGCTCAGGATGTGTATTTGACCAATATTTATTATTTCAAATAAGAAACATTACATGGATAAGACAGTGAGGCACATGTTCGCTGGCACTTTCCATCTGGGACTGTTGGTGGCAGACGTCTATAGGAGAAGACAGCACTAGTTTTTGTGTTAATTACACACACGTGCTAGTAATGAAGGCTATTCATTAGACTGATATAATTTAATATCGTTATTCACACTTGAAAGTATTTCTGCTACATCAGCTGCTGGAGCCCATGAGCCAGTATTTTCTATCCTAGGTGTCCATGGCAGCAGTGAGTCACCAGAATTTGGGGGGGCTGATTGTCATAAATGGGGAAGAGAACAGTTTCTGATGGGAGCATTAAGGAATAAAAAGCTTTGGCAGCAAGACCCTTTATTGAGGTGCATAAATATGGACTTAGGCCCCAGAACCTAAGTCATGTAGGAACCCATCTATGACTAAGCCACCTGCCCTCCCTCTGCAGCCACTGAAGCAGGGATGCATATAGACATATGCATGCCTGCCTGACAAGCCCTTCCTTAGTCAAGTGCATTTGAAATTGCAGATGACTAAAGAAGATCAGGGTTCAGGTGTAAGTCTATGAACTTAAAAGGTAAAACACAAAATGCTTTTCTTAATATGCTCAGAATCAGCTCCTCATTATATGGGAGGAGCAATTTTTACAACAAATGTGTTAAAGTACACAAAGTATTAACCCAGCTTATTTTAAAACTTCTGTCAGTGTTTATTTGCCCATACATTGGCTGCACAGAAGAGACTTTAATTATTAGCCATTTATTGCAGAGGATTCTCCAAATGGGTAAAAGGAGACGTGAAATAAAATGCTCTTATCTGAGTAGATGCTTAAGTAACAGCTAAATTAAATCTTTGCATTAATAGTATTCATAGAAAGGCAGATGGGAGCAGAAAATGTTGCGATGAAGAATATGGAATGAGATGAGATCACAGCATCAGTCTGTCCTTTGTAGATCTGGACAATGATCACAGAGCCAGATTGGATTAGTGAAACCTATTTACCAGAAGTTCAGAGCGGTTGCATGAAGCAGAAAGGCAGTCAGTAGGGAGAGGTGGAAAATGCACCAGATTTACAGCTGCAGCGACGAGAATTTAGAAGTTTTCACCACTGTGATTTCATCCAAATGTGAGTACATCAAAACTGTAAGAACCGCTGCGGGGTTGTCTTTTAGATGGATGGGGTATTTAGCATCAGGAAAATCTCTGAAGTGAGCAGCTTATCTGTTCTGCCGCACTCTGCTCGCAGTCCAGTGCTTGCTGCTTGTTTCTGGAGCTAATCCGTGCAGGTGCTTCGACATTGTGGCTGTGTGAAATCTTTGCGCTGGCAAAATTGGGAGCTCTGGAATCGGTGTTGATATACCTATGAGGTAATTGCTAAAGTGACAGCTTGCAACTGTGTGGCTATTCTGTGTAATAGAAAGGAAAATGAAGTTCTGCTAGCAGTTAGCAGCTCAGATGAAGTGGGTGAACTGCATGAATGTTGAGTTTAAGTCTGCTGGCTCAGTAAGTGGAACATTTCCAAAGCCATGCCCTGGAAATGAATGCATGATTAACATTAATTGCTTGTAATGAAGAGTAAGAACCAGACAAAGCCCAGTCTGCATTTGATTGAACAAATTAGTTTAAACTCAATGGCTGCATATTTCAGCAACAAGAAAGCAGGTAAAAACAGGGAAAACAAATTGTGGGGCCAGGTCAGATCTTTACTTGCAAGCTGCGAGCATGAGCTTTCAGCTGCTTAATTTCAGAACAAAAGTGGAAATGACAACGTGAACCATCACTGTAATTGGTTTCATTGCCTGAAAGCTGGGTCTGTGCGTACAAACATCCTTTTACAGGCAAACCCAGGAGCATCATCTGCAAGGATTCATTCTTCCCTTCCTGCTCCCACTCCCTGCAGAAAATGATGTTTGCGGGGAGAGCACTGTTTGCATTGCTGCCTTTGTATGCCTGCACAAGTGGGTCACTGCTGGCTACCTCCGTGATTCACTCTTCTTTCAATGGCTATTCAAGTAATTGCATGTTTGCTGGTGCTGTGACTTCCCTTTCATGCCTTGCCTTTCTTCAGCCCCTGTAAGCCATTCTCCTTTTGCTCTGGCAGACAACAGGCAGCGAGTTTGGCTGTGGATCATACGTGCTTGGAAAATACGCACATTTATTACCGTTTGCCACATTTATTGTTGTTCCCTGTGCACTGGCCTGGGTACCAGTAACAGCACAAAAGTACTTGCTCCTTTTAGATACCTACATAAACTGTGCTCCTCACACTGCCCAGTAAAATACATAAAACACGAAAGAGACAGGAAGATAATGCTTCGCATCGCTAAACTTCTCTGCACTTGAGTGTTTTGCTTGTGAGCAATTAGTTAAGTCCTCACACAGTGAAATTCCTAAAGTTGATTGCAGCAGCTTCCAAACCAACTTACGACATAGTCCTAGGAAAAAGCCCAGCTTCATGATGCTGGTCTGGTTTTCATCCCCCACTCACCAGGGTTTAAAATATAAAACGTGCCCTGCAGGAGAAGGCAGCGGGTTCCCTGAGGTTATTACACCATGCAAAACAGACCGTAATTGAACTGACAGCTTAGCACGCTCTCAAGCTCTGTGCCAGGAGATAACTTACTTGTGATGAGTTCCATGTGGAAGTACACTGTGCTGCAATGGGCCACTGGCAGGGACCCTGGACAAGATCCATCACCACCCCGTCACTGCCCTCTTTCACTGAGGGCAGAGATAAGCCCAAAACTGTGTTTCTGTCCAGTGGAGACCTAATACTCAGTACTAACAACCTCACTGCAGTATCGAGGGGTGGCTTTTAGGGAAACAGAAGCTGTCTAGGAAGAGTGAGCCCACTGCCAGCTCTGCTTGTACCGAAGCCTGGAAAGCCCAGTCCCTTACTCTCGCCATCAGAGAGGCATTTGGCTGCAGTACAAGCAGCCTTGGATGACCTCCAGCTGCTTCCACAGCTTCAGAATTCATTGCAAATACTCGTACATAGCAGTGATAAGCACTGAAACTCCTGGAGTTGAATGTATGCCAAAAATGTAATGGAAAGCTCACCTGGAGAGTAAGAGTCACCTCTCATCCCGTAACAAACCTTCCTGGCTCTTCAAAGCCTTTGGATTATGCATAGAGCTTGAATAGGAAACCCCCATTCATGTGCCTTGCCCCCGGGGTCAGCCTTTAGAATTGCAGTTAATTCACCCCATTTGGCAGGTTTTTGCTGGCCTGTTTCTGTCACTGGATGCTAAATCCTGTAGCCTGAACACACGAGAAGGTGATAACTTTAAAGAGCAAAGGGTTAGATATGATGAGAGGGAGAGCTGGGGCTATCACAGAGTCTTTCAGGCCAGTTTCAAGTCAAACTGAAACAAGTGTTTGTTAAACACTCTTCACTTTGTCCAGAAAAACCCCTCTCACTCCAACCAGTCACTTCAATGGAGCGAAAAGGATAGGCATCTCCAAAGTTAATGCACACAGTAGTCACGTTTGAAGGTGTCTGGATGGAAAGAGAAGCTCATTTCCTCCTGAAACATTGGCGGGTGGCGGGCCAGATCAAAACTCAGGAAGGAGAAGCATGGTTCCTCCTTGAAGCCTATGGGAGAGCTGCAGAAACTTGGGGAACGCTGTTGCCCTGTGCCCATGTTGCACAGTTGCACAGCTAGAGCATGGTCTCTGAGATAACATTAAAGAGTACTTTCTTTTGGGTTGTCTCAGCTGGAATGCTCCTTAAAACCTTGCTTCTTCCCCCCCCACCCCCCATGCCCCCCAATATATTCTCATGCAGAACTTCTAGAGGGATGTGCAACCTCATCTTGTACATTTCCACTGCACCCTGACCGTGTTCCTGTTCTTCTTTCACAGCATGTAGTCCTGCCCGAAGACGAGCCAAAAGTACGCAGCACATCCTAACAAAGAGTGTAAGAAAAACCTCCTTTTCTCTCCCTCTCTTTTTTTCCATTCTAGTTGACTACACTTACTCTTAAAAATGCCATGGATAGATGGGAAGCACATCTTCCAGGGCAAAGTGTATCAGTGTCTGATGCAGGGAGTGGGGTGGGAAACAGAAAGGGGAGTTTCTGTAAAGCTATAGTTTTTTTACAGAAGCACTTTGAAACTTCAAAAAATATGGTCTTGTTATGCAGAGCCAGTCGAAATGAACACAGCAGCTTATCAACATGGGCTATCTGAGGGAATCACACACTTAATTCTTATCCATAAAGCCTTAATGATAACACCAGAGGGACAGGCAGGGATGAAAAGCAAACAAATCGTATCACTACCTGTATGCGTTAACCAAGGAGTCAGTATCCCATTCCCTGGGGAATGTGGGAGGAAAACACCAAGCAATGAACTGTAACCTCAACTCAAAAAGATAGCTCTGAGAGAGCCACAGGAGGATGCTTGTCCCTTGATCCCGATGTGCTTCCTGCCCTCGACTCACCTCCTGTGCACTGTCACAGAGTGCACAGCTGAAGCTTCATCTGCTCCCTGCAGGTGGTGCTTTCCAAGTCTGGGCACTTTGACACATGGGTCTGAGTTTTCTTGTCTTTAGAGCCAGTTTTCCCTCTTTAAATCCAGTTGAATCATTCACAACCCCTACCATGGTCCTCTCATCGCAGTTCTGATTTACAGGAATGACTAACTGTTTCTCTTGTGCATATCCCAGCACTTCTAACAAGCTTTGAGACTCTTCTGATGAAGCATTTTCTCTCACTACAGACCTGTCTCTTCACTAGCACTGTCAAAATATTCTGCTCCATGGCCTTCTCTTTTTCCATGCCCTATCCCACTTTGAAGCCCCATCCTTATTTGTGAATAGCCTCTTCTTGATATTCCTGATTCCCCGATCTCACCACACTGTGGGTCCCCCCTTGTCATGGTTTAAGTCCAGCTGGTAACTCGGAACCACACAGCCACTCGCTCACTTCCCATCTCCTCTTCCCCTTCTCCCAGAGGGATAGGGAGGAGAATTGAAAGAATGTAACTCCCATGGACTGAGATAAGAGCATCCCGGTAACTAAGGTATAACACAAACCACTGCTGCTACCAATAATAATAATGATAAGGGGGATAACAAGGGAAGAGAATACGGCCACTCACCACCCACCGACTGATACCCAACCCAACCCGAGCAGTGATCTAACTGTTCCTGGTAACTGCTCCCAGTTTATATACTGGACATGACATGCTGTGGTATGGAATACCCCTTTGGCTAGTTTGGGTCAGGTGTCCTGTCTTTGCTTCCTCCCGGCTTCCTCTCCTCCCTGCCAGAGCATGAGACTCAGAAAGTCCTTGGTCAGGGTAAACATTACTGAGCAGTAACTAAAAACATCGGTGTTATCAGCACTGTTCCCAGGCTGGAAGTAAAAAACACAGCACTGCTCCAGCTACTAAGAAGGAGAAAAAATGACTGCTACTGCTGAACCCAGGACACCCCTACTTATCACACCTGTAACTGGAAAGAACCTCACCACACTCAATCCCATCCCCTCACTTGGTTATTTTGGCAGACCACAGGATCCCAGTACTTCACAGGATGCCTGAAGTGGTGCCCAGGAAGGGTCAATGTGTCTGTCATGTCTGGGTAAAAACTCTGTATGTGTGTATTTTCTCAAATTGCAAAAATCTCATTTTTGTCCCATAACTCAGGCTGAGGTTTCAAAATGACCTTTCATTCCAAAGGGGGATGAAAGTCAGGGTGCCAGAGTCCTACTCAAAATAAGCCATTTTGGGATACCCCTTTTTTATTTGTTACGCCTTTGGTATATTTTGTTTTCTATGTAATACAAAAACAGCATAAAAGTCCAATCTAAAAGTGAACTATTCCGACTTAATGGAACAGAATGCTCAGATAATTTATCTTTCTTTTTTTGACAAAATTTATACCTTCCAACAAAGTGACCAGATTTCTAACCAGAATTTATCATAAAACTATTCAGCTGGAAAATTTTGAGCTAGTTCTCATTGAAATCTATGGCACCTGTATGTCAAAATTCCAAAACTCGGCAGATAGAGAGTTGTATTAGCTAAATGGGAACCTCTAATATTTAACTTGGATTGAATCAGCTGCTGTAGCAGCACAGTACTTATAGAGGTCTAAGAAAGTATGATAAGAAAGTCCCTGTTTTGTTGCTGTATTTTTAGAGTTGGTTTTTCTTTTCCCTTTGGGGCTTTCCTGACCCCAATTAAAGATGTCCTTTGATTGGCCTTTAGCTATGATGCAGGCAGCATCATTAGCAGTGGGAGCACCAAGCCTGAAGAATAGTCTGCAGCTCCAGCTGAGAAAACAAGTAAGGCTCTCAAACCAGAGGAGTTGGCACAGCCAGCTCTTTGTGCATTCCCCTTCTTCAGTATATGATGCAGCTGCTTGCAGCTTCTGCACAAGCATTCAAATACATTGCCTGTACTGGAATACACGTGCCTGTGAGGAAGCTGTGATTGCCAACTTCTAGACCCACAGAAAAGTAGCAGAATGATTGGTTTTCACTTTTACATCTGCACCTGCAGTCAGTGCTGTGGAAATGCTCTCAGCTAATGTGAAATCTCCTGGTCTGGTGACTGCGGTGGATGCACAACTTTAATCCTCAGCAAGGGCAAAAATAGCAAGCAAGGTGGACATCTGCCAGACCTTTTTTTTTTGCTGCAGAAATACTCAAGCAGTGCAGCATTAAGTGATTGAACAGTCAAATGACTGACCTTTGGGGGTAACTTTCATCACATTCAAGAACCCATCCCAAAAGCACAGTCAGGAGTATGGAAGGATGAGAGAGAGGGGAAACATCTTTTTTTTCACTGGAGTGTTTCACCAATATGCTTATTTGCAGTTCCTGTTGCCCTATTATGAGTTATTTCAAGTGATAGTAGATCCTTCTCTTCCCTTGCTCTTCTAGCCCCAAAATTCCTCAGGTGGAACTGTCTAGATGCCAGTACCTGGCTACTTTGCATAAAGATGTAAAATCCCTCTGTGCATGCTAGTGCTGCCACATTAAAAATGAGATCAGCATTAGACCATCAAAAAAGGCTTAACTGCAAATCTGGAGTTTCCTCCACTAACAAGCACCTCATTGTTCAGCCTTTCAGCTTCAAAGCTTTATTCTAAGCCAGATGTTTAATTGTCACCTTTTCTGGTTGGTTGTTGGTTTGGCAGCGGGATTTTGGGTCTAGGAGCAGCATTGTTGGAACAGCCTCTGCGCTGCTCTGCAACCTTCCTCTGTCCTCCGTGCCCCCTGCTTAACACAGCTAATTCCAGCAGCAGGTATGCCAGGCCTGAGTGCTCTCACATGCATGTAAAGTCCACAAAAGAGACTTTGGTAAGCTGAGAATTCAGAGTTGGTGTCCTGCAAACAAACTGAGCAGGTCAAGGGACATACAGGTTCTCAAACCAGTAGCTCTTTAGAGAGCAGTATACTAATTCTACATAGTTTGGCTGGCTCTGCCATTCACACAGGTTTTAATTCTCTGGTATGTCTAGAAAAGAAAAGTGACTTGCAGCTGATCCTTCTGCCTTACCCCAGGTACCCTAGAGAAATGTCAGCTCCAGTTTAGATCAAAACTGTGCTACAGCAGGTTTAGTTTCCTGACCTAGATAAGTCTTCACATATTACAGTAATGGGTGAGGTAGCCAAAGTCACGGTGAAATCTTGAATTAGGAGATAAGGAACTCTAAAAGTGTTTTTAGAGTTTTAGAGCTACAGCCAAATGCTGCAAACTACGATGTTCATGCAAGATATGCTATAGAGATTGTGCTGTTGCCTCCAGCTGTAATGGAAGATGGCACTATAGCTTACATACACAGATTCTGCTTTTTGCCTTTTTGGCATTACTTACACGACATGTAAAAAGGAATCTTGGTAACAGAAAATGTGTCTAAGTAATTCATGTTATTAATGCAGTTAAAAATCCTGCTTCCTTTTCCCAAAGACTTTAATCTTCTTGAGAAAACTGTTTCTGGATCATCCTGGGTAACAGTCCTGATGGATCCACTTGCTCTTGGATCCACTTGTTCCTGTTTTTTTTTTAACTCACATTAGCCTTGGTGCCCAGAGTTGCCTGTGGCAGCACAGTGGGTGCCATGGCTTAGTCATGATCGAAGTAGAAAAGAACTTAGTGTTGTTCACATTTGTTTTCAGGGCTCTGTTCGAAATACAGGGGGGTAACGTTCAAAGATGCAGCTCTCAGTGAGTTGTGTTTGTGCAAGCTAATGTCTGTGAACATTAACCTCTGGGAGCACAATTATTCATTGCTTTGTACCCTCTGTAATCATTACCAGGTACAAAATGTAAGTAAGTCCAAAAGATGGGAAAGGCCATGAAAAAATAGCATTTGTAATTCACATTTAACTGATTGCCCAAGACATGACGCAATAAGAAATTCAATTTGAGCTGTCTCAAAGGCATATTGATCTTGAAAAGAACCACATTTCTCCTGAGGAGAATACAGAAAGCTGCACCAAAGTAGTGGGTTCCAGAGAGACCCCACGTGGCTTTCCCATACTTTTATACATCTCGTGCACAGAGGCAGGAGCTAAACAAAACAAACACCACAAATCCCACACAACAAACTCCCTTCAGATGACGGGAAAGCAGTGGGAAGAGCAAACACTATGCTGCTCCCCACTGACCACCCCGTCTCCAAGGCCATGTATAACAGGATGGCTTTTCCTTTTGCTGTAGGTGGTAGCCATATCCAACCACCGGCCCCACAGGACCGAGAAGCTGCATCCTCACCAGGGTGACCTCCTCCAGGTGCTGTACAACGGAGACGAGGTGCAGGGCTTGGGCTGCCTGCAGAGCGGGCAGCAGGGACCCTGCCCTGCCAAAGGTGCTGCCCAGCACGGTGAGTCTGCACAATGGCTTTATTCCTCTGTGGCTTATGGAACATTGTTAGATACTGCAGTCTGCCAGTTTGCAGGCAGTTTGTTATGGATCTGAAGGATACGTTCATGCTTAAAATATCCGGTGGAACTAATGAGAAAACAGCCATGGCATTGCTTAGCTCTTGCTTTATTCAAAGTCATAAACTCACTATTCAGAGTCATAAACTTGCTTTATTCAGAGTCATGAGCACTCCCTTTCCAAAGGCTGATGATATTTTAGGCATGATATTTTGTGAATTACTGAGTTTGCCTGAGTCATCTTACTATATAAGATCCCAGTTCAGTTGCTTGGAACTTGCCAGAACACAACAATTTGGGATGAACTTTTAGATTCTGTATGTCAGCCACAGGATGGATTTTGTTTTTTCTGACAAAACTTGTTCAACATATTTGTGAGAACTAGTGAAGGGAAAAGAGAGGTTGCCAAAGCAAAACCAAGGAAATGAGTAAACATAGACTAGTTATTCAGCTCCTTCATCGCTGATGTTTGGAAGGTTGAAGCTGGAGCAGGGCCATGCAGTTTGGCAAGGGGTGGCCTTTTAGTCAAAAGCTCATCTTCTGCTCTCCCTTGAAAAACAACCCAGATGCAGTCAAGTCATAAGCCTTTGAAAAAATCCAGTATGGCACGTGTTTGGTGGAGACATTGGGCATTTAGCTGTGCAAAGGTGCTAAATCCGTGAAGTAGATACTATCGTGAAGGTGCATGTTCTTCACACCCCCAGTCTGCAGCTGCAGTGCGCATTAGCCGTGCCATTAGGAACACAGCGCAGACAAGAGTGGGGCCTGGGAAACTGGGAAGGAAGAAACTGACCTTGGGACGATAGGGAGAGATCTCAAACCAGGACCAGAGCCAAGCTATGGCTGAACAAAGAACTGGGGCTTCAGGGCTGGAGCAGAGAGAGGAGGAGGAGTTGCTGGAACCGGCTGCAGGGCAAAGGATGGCAGAGAGCCAGTGGGGAGAAAGAAGGGACTGCTGGTCTCTGCTGTTAGGGGAATTGAGATAAAGGATGACAGAGAGGCGCGAGTGGGAGAAAAGGTGGAGGAATCCAGAAAGAAGAGCAGAAAATGAAGAAACAGTTCTCATAGGGGTGAAAAGGAAGTGAGTGGGCAAAGAAACTGGAATGCTGTATAGGAAAGAGTGAAAAACTGGGTTTAAGTTAGAACAAAAGAGAGACAAAATGGACTGGCTGAGGAGTGGAAGAGGGAGCGAGGAGAGCAGGACAAGGCAAACTCACCAGGATCATCTGGACAAGACACAAGAGCTCCTGCAGGGCTGCCTGAGCTTGTGCAGCATGGCGAGGCTGTTTGTCAGACCTCTGTTCCCCCCATTATAGGCGATGCTCAGGGACCAATGCAAGACACCTCCTGCAACAGCCCCCTAAGTTCTGTCCATCCCTGCCACCAGACTCCTCAGCGATGCTCATCACCTCACACAGCTGACGCATTCCCCTTTTCTGGGTGCCTGCTTCACAGCTCTGGCTGCAACACCTGGGAATGCTCAGTTGCTGCTGCACTAAAATCTGCTTTGGCTCTGAACAGTGCTGTGTCCTGCTCAAGTCTCTGAAAAACTGGATCCCAGGACCTTCTAATCTTGTACTCAGCACCGACCTCTGCTTTCCCAATGTGACTCCTTGTCGCCTCCCCCAGGAGGTGATGAAGCTGGTCCATGCAGATGATGACCATGGTGATCAGCAACACAGAGGAGCCTGTGAACAGTTCTTCCCTCAGGGGATTCAGTGGGGGGGAAAGCAAGTACAGGACTGCACTGATGAGCTGCTTTCTGAGTGAACACTGTCTGCGTGAGTGAAGCAGAAAGTCTGTGGAAAAACGGTTGCTGATCACACATTAGAGACTGAGTCTGTGTCTAGGTCCTTTGGGGGATAAAATCACTTTGATCCAGTCCTGGTGTCCCATAACTTTTGAGTGACAGATTTGGCATTTTAAGGGAAGGAAGGTTGAAGTGTTGGTGAATCTTTGTGTGAAGACCAAATAGCTCTTTGTTATAGTGTGCTGCAGTGTCCTGTTTCTGTACTAACTGTACTAATAACACCTACACAGAGAATAGGGTACCATGAGAGAGTCCAGAAAGGTTTCTCCAACAGTTTCTCAACAGCTGGAGAGCCAGCATTATGTGATATGAAGTGAGGTAAACATATAGATATGTATCATCTATTTTCATTAATCTCTCTACAAATGTTACCTTCATGTCAATTTTACCCTTCAAAAATATCCTTCAACTTTCTTACTGGAAATAGTTGTGTCTATAGAGTTTTCCATGTTTGCTCCATAAATAAGTACTGCTGATTATGAAAGGGACTTCAGATTTGGTAAAGCACAAGTTGAAATCTGAACAGTTCAATTTCCAGAGTAAGGGGAAAATGTGTAAACAAGAGCAGAGGTAAGACCATCAGCACACCTATTGCCAGCATCAGAAACCCTACGCACATATTGAAGCATCATAGCATGGCTTGGGTTGGAAGGGACCTTAAAGATCATCTAGTTCCAACCCCTGCCATGGGCAGGAACATCTTTGACTAGACCAGGTCGCTCAAAGCCCCATCCAGCCTGGCTGTGAAGGAAGCAAGCGTAGCGGGAGGCCACAAGAAGAAACTCCTGATTGCACTGAAAGCTGTGCTTTGTTACACAGGATGGACAGATCAAAACAAACCAAAACAAACCAAAGCAAAATAAAATTGCACTTCTCCAGGACAGAAGTACTCAGCTTTGTACCAAGTTCTTGTATAAGCGCTCATTTTGGAAACATAGGGCAAGTCAGAACAGCTGATGAGAAGCAACTGGAAGCAGAATTCACACCACACTCCACCACCACTATCCTGAGGGGACCACTTATAAAGCTGAAGCTACAAGGACCTACATTTGTTTGGATATTCTGCTACAAGTTTGCTAGAACATGTTCAGTATCTGTCAAGCAGAGGGGCAGCTGAAGGGAAAAATCAGGCAATACAAGGGCAAACAAAACAAAAGCAAATCAAATAAGAAAGGGGGGGAAAGAATATGGACATCAGTGGCTGGACAGGCTCCAAGCAGTGATGCCTGGAGCCACTTGCTGAATACTGTTAGTACCTAATATGCAAGATGACAGGAGGTAATAGAATTAAACTCTGACATGAGGGATACAGCTAAGTATCTAATAGAATTACTGGCTGGGGCAGGGAGCAGGAAGAGAGAGGCTGGTGAGGATATTTGTTACAGTCAAATATTGCCCCCAGAAGGAGAAGACATTTCTGATCACTATCTCATGCCAAGACAGCACTATAAGCAGTGCCGTGGCTATTTCTGATGTTTGCTGTCATTATATATATTCCATTCGTTACAGCAGTTGTAAATCATATTCTTGAAGACTTGATGAATCTTGGTGTTCCTGCATATACTTCTCTTGCTCTTCACTTACCTGAATATCCTTTTAAGGAACAGCAGACACCGAAAGCAGCCAGGAACAGAAATAAATGAATAAATATATAAATAAGATACCTCCATGATCTGACATCCAAACAGGAGGATTTGCCTCCATAAAAATCTGGCATCCCTCCCTCATTTATTTCCTCAGCACAACTAGCAGGAATGTCAGGAGATGATCATGATAAAGAAACTTCCACACTTTTGGCTATAATCAAGTCTGGTTGGAGTCTAACCTGAATCTAGGCTCTGTTCATGGAAAGAGGCTTTTAATGCAAGCTGTGCCAATTGGATAATTGCCGATAATGCCACATTCCTTATCCTTTGCAGTGGGAGTTACTGAACGAGAATCATCCAAGTCCTGTAATCACCCATTGGATGGAAAATCTTTGGTAAGTAAATACAGCAAGGCCAATTACCACTGTCTGATGCATCTTAAAACCTGTCAGCGTGTCCCACATTAATCATGTCAGCATGTCAGTCTCTCATAGAACGTGCACATTTTGCAGTCTTTGTTAAGGCCTTGAGACATGATTTATGCCAGAGGATCGATCCTTAGCTAGGAGAGGAGACTGGCATAGGACAAGTGCCCTCAAGGAAGGGTGGTGGGATGGAAACAGGTAGGCTCAGCCACCCACCATACCTGGGAGGAATTATCCTCTTGTTTCTCAGGGAATTTCACAAATTGGGGAAAATAAATCATTTCTAAAGTGGAACAAGCATCAGATAATTATATTCTTAGAATGCCAGCCTGACATGGTAATCAGATCAATGGAAAATGCTGATGAAGATTTAATGGGAAAATCATTAAACAAAACCCCAAAATTTGTTCTGTATTGGAAAGACAAAATGCTCTGGTTAAAAATGACTCAGCTTTACTAAAACATTTTCCTTCCCTTCTTTTTCTTAAAAAAAAAAAAAAAACAACCAAAACCCCCTTTACATTTTATAAAAACTAGATTTTCAAACAGAAAATACTCCTTTGAAAAGTTTCCAACAAACACCAGACCATGCTATAGAAACCTGATGGCTTAAAATGCTCTTCTGGATGGCTACAACACACTTGCTAGCTGGTAGCTGGGATGCACTGAATAAAAATTACTGTACAATGTTGAAGGATGGTCACAATTAATGATATTCAGTGTAATGAAAGTAATTGCACTTACCAAAAATTAACCCAGTTAAATTTCAAAGTATGCTTTCAAAAGTGATTTCAAACATTTCTGTAAGTCTTAAGATACTTGCAGAGCTCACCAAAACATACCCAGTCTCGGATTAATCCCAGGGGAAATAGCCCTAGACAACGTAAGACCAATTACACTAGTGACAATAATATAAAGATGGGTTTCAGTACTGACAGTTAAATCAGTGTGGTTATTGCCTGAAATGATGAGAGTGCATACAATTTCTGGCAACCCACGCTTTAGCTTGCCATCTTGGAGGCTATGCCAGTCTCATGGTCAAATGGTCAAATGAGACAAGAGGAAGGTGATGATCAGGCACTTGCGTGGCTATGGCAGAACTGGACAGGAACCAGGGACCCCCATGCCACTAAGCAGCACACAGAAGAACAGGGAAACATTTCTAAACACCCAAGGGAACAGTGATGTCTGGGACAGCTGGTCCCCAGGCAGCCACAGAGAGAGCTGCAAGAGGTGGGCTGCCCAGTCTGCTCAAAGCCTTGACTCTTCAGGAAGCTAGGCGTGAAACCTAAGGACCAGAAAGTTCTGCGAGCCTCCCTCCTTCGATGGGAGGTGTAATTCTTGCTCATACAAGCCCTGTGTTGAGTTCGGCAAGAACATTCATGTGAGTCATCAGTACTTGTGTGGGTAAGATTTGGGCAGTCAAATCCTTAACCTGCTTTCTCTTGTAGAAGATTCATAGTATGTATTGATTTTCCTAAAACAGCCTCTTTCCTCAGACAAACCTGTGCTCCCTGCTTACCAGTAGCACTTCCTAATGACGTGCTTTTTCCTCCTGTAGATTCCACCATCGCCAGTTGCCCACATCACTGTGAAAGCGGTGGCTGTCACAGATTCACCCACAGGCAACAGCACTTCCATGGAACAGTAAGTCCTTTCCCACCTTCTAGCCAAGCCTGGGGGGCTGCACGAGGTGTGATGCCAGGCAGGGAGGGCATAGGGCACCTCTGCCACAGGTCACCTGCTCACCAGAGACACAGAGAGGTGCTTGTCTGCAGATCTGTGAATCAGAGCCGTAAAACCTCAGTGATTTACAGTAAAGCCATGCTGCTTACTTCCCAAAAGTAGGGAGAGATTAGCTAAAGGATATGATTATTATATTGTCAGCCACAGCCATTTTTACAGTTGCCCCAGTGCCAGTTACAGCTCTGTTTTATTACTAGGAAAAAAGCATCTGAATTCAAAATTTAAGTATTTTCCCCCTAAGAAGTCTATAATATTTGCCCTAAAGCAGCTTAAAAAATGTAATCGATTTTTAAACAAAGTACAATTTAGGAACAAGTTGACCATAGAACAAACACACACATCACTAGGCAGTTAACCCAGACACACATCAGGGTGATACTTGAGATCCCACCATTGCTGTCTGAGGGAGAGTAACAAGCTCATTGTCATAGTGTCCTCATACTCCACACACAGACATAAATACCCCTCAGCCAGTGTAAGCCAGCTAAGCCCCCTCGGGTTTTCCATGCCCGGCTGCCATAAGCCAGGATGAAGGGCCATGGAGATGAATGCTTTACTTGTCTGTGCTTTATTTGCTAGTCACCGGCAGCACTGGAGGAAGGCAGCAGAGTACGACCTGACCCTGCCCCCAGGAGCAGAAGCTTCCCTACCACTGACAGGAGGCAACCTGTGCGGGACGCCCAGCCTCCTGAGGAAGATGTGGATGAAGCACAAGAAGAAGTCAGAGTACCTAGGGGCAACAAACAGTGCCTTTGAGGCAGACTGACAAGGCTCAGCATCACTTGGAAGGACAGAAGGTCCTTTAGCCAAGGACAAGGTGCTCTAAGATCAATGAAGGAACAGACACAGCACAACTCATCCAAGAAAACTATATCCTTTTTGTTACTTGATGCCATTGCCTCATAACAGTGGGAGGAAGTCCAACTAAGGTAAAAATGATGAACATGATGCAACTCACTGGCCTTTCTTTGTTGCAATATACTAAAATCACAAATATCCCGCTAGATTTACATCTTGACTCAATGATGCTGAAACTACTCCCAGCCCATTCACCATTTTACATATCCTTTCTGAATCAGCTTGGACTTGCAACAGGAAAAGCCTACCAATAGGTTTGTGTATTCCTGCAATGCAACAGATTGATTATGGAGTGCCATTGAATACCCTCAGTCTGCTCGCTGTGTAGCACTTCTTGTCCTCTTCCCCCTCTCATATCATGAGATAAAACCCACATCTTATGATACGCTTGGTTGAATGACATACACTAAACGTATTTCTTTTTTCTACAGTGTTGATGTTTCACGACAGGAGTAAAAGATGCAAAAATTGTAACAGAAAGTGTCAGAACGCAGCAAGTTTGCAAACACACATTTACCAAACTTTGCTATGTGACAGGTGATCGGTGTTTCAAAGTGTCCTGACAGATCAAACTGTGAGCAATTGGATAACCTCGAGATACTGTCTTCCACAGAACCTGCTTACATGTTAAGTGGTAGTCAGAAACTTACTCTCTACCTATGTGGTACAGGAATTTCACTAAGTGCGCAACATACTAGGAGGAAAGAAAATATGCAAATGGTGCAACTAGGTGACTGAAAGTGAGATATTTGCATATAGAAGACCAGTGCTTATGGATAGATGGAATTCATGGAATTTGCTGTAAAATCTTTCTCAACTTCTTTTTTTTAAGTTTAGAAATTGCAGGTCATGGCCCATTGGGATTTTCTCTTACAACAGAAAAAGTTTCACAGGAAAGATTTCATTGTCATTACGGACAATATTTTGTCAGTCATGAACAGTACTTGCCTCGCCTGAGTACTCCTCTCATTATTAAGGAAGGCTGTGGCTTGCCTAAATACAGACTTTAAATATAAAACTGAAGGAGGCATTTCTCCTGTTGCTCACGATAATGATGATCTTTTGTAATGTAACTGCCAGTACACCAAAGTATAAATGAAAAATGAAAAAAGTCTTCCTCTATAAGAGAAGCACAGGAGCAAAGCTCCCATCTGAAACTTGCTTGCCTGCAGCCAGCATAGTAAAATGGTTTGGAAGGGACCTTGAAGATCACCCAGTTCCAACTGGGCTGCTATGAACAGGGACACCTTTCACTACACCAGGTTGCGCCAAGCCCCATCCAACCTGGCCTTGAACACTGCCAGGGATGGGGCTGCCGCAGCTTCTCTGGGCACCCTGTGCCAGTGCCTCACCACCCGCACAGTCACAGTCTTCTCCTTCAGAGGTGCTCAAACAGCTCACAGAGGACAGCCTTGCAGCTAGAAATCCCAGTCTCTCCCCTCCTGCTTACCAAATGCAGAAATCCTTCTCCGCCGCAGCAGCCTGACAGAGGGATGATCTGCTCTCCTGCTTTCCTTTCATCCTTCTGGGAAAGGAGAACACAGCTCCTCGTTACCCACATGCTAAAAGCCCCCAGCTGCTGGCAAGGCAGGGAGAAGAGGCAATGGTGACCCTGCACTGACCATGTCAGCATGCAAGAGCAGTGCTGACTCCTGCTGAAGGCTGCACACATGAACATCACCAGAACAGTTTTCTCCCAGGGGTATACCCCACCCTTAAATCAGAGCCTGACACGCTGGCCCTGGGTAATAGTACAGACACTGTGGCCTTGCCAACATCAGGTCCTCCATGACTGAACCAAACTGGAGCCATGGCCAAGACTTCCCTGAAATGTCTATTATAAATCTCACCAGCCACACAACACCCTCTCCCCAGCCCCAATAAATTCTTCCAGAAGCCTTGGCCTTTAGGTTCATGCTATTTTTATGCATATCGATAAACCCAATAAATTCAGTGGAACTACTTCCTTGCACAGAAATGCATGCGCGCACATGAGGAGTAGGGAGGATAGTAATTGCCAGTTCCTTTTTTTGGTCTAATTCCCTAAACAAATGAAAAATAAATAAGACAGGCAGACACTGGGAAAAGTCTATTTGCTGAATTAGGGGTAATTAAGAAAGCGACCATTTGCGCTACTTGCCCTTATAGCTAATGTGACCTATAGAGCACCCAACACACAGTCCAGGGCAGCAAGAGTTTTGTCTGTTGAGAAAGCTGTATCATAGTATTTCATTTGTTAATTACTAGTTTTAAGCAGTAGGAGGATGGAGGCAAAGAGAAGATGATTCATGTTTCTACCTAATAATTGCTGTATCTTGAAATGTGTATTTATGGTTTTCTTATTTATTTAATTTATACTTTGGATCTACAAGAGGAGAGATTTACATGAAGCATATTTAGTTTCTCTGTATTCCAGGAACCGCTGTGGAGATTTCTTGTACTGTAGTAGATACTTGTTTTATTGATTTGACTAAAATATGTCCTATTCATAAAAAAAATAAATAAAAGAAACAAGTAGCATGTGGTAACATATGGGTCTTGGTGATTTAAAAGGTTTTGGGAAGCATTTAGTGGAAATTGAAGGGCAGGTTTATGGTACTGAAGAATGTGAACACCTTATAGCAAAGAAACCAAATTTTGCTCCCCACAGAAAAGCCTGGAAATGTATGTTTGTGTGTGGCTTCAGTATTTTATGTGTGGTGGAATATTGTTATCAGATACTCAGAGAAAAGGCCCAGTACTGCCAAGCAGTTAGACATCAGATACGCACCTACACACAAGGCTTCAAGTGGGCACAACATTTAGTCTCCCTCTGGCCCTGGGAGATAAGCAGTGTCACCGCTCTCCCATCAAATAAGAGAACCAAGACAGAGGGGGTAGTTAAGGCCCTAGTAGAGAATAAGACCAAGCGCTGCCCATCTTCTGACCCACCAGTTGTCAACAAAGTCACTTGTCGCCAACACAACACCATCTTTGGAGATCCTATGCTGAATGACAGCCCAAGGTGAGGTGGGTGACACAGGGACACAGGAGCCCAAGCTAGGGGAACTGGCTCAGGAATGCAAGGGTAAAGACTTTAAGACACAAGGGAAGAAAACATATGGTGTTGGCCACCAACCCGGCCCTTGGAAGGCCTATCTGCTAAGAATGACTTGTCCCCTCTGCACTGCCTGTATCCCGTGCAGCTCCTGTGGAATGGTGCCACGTTTCTGGTCCTGCCATTGCAGAGAGTGTCTACATTTAACACGAGCAAACAGGGAGTGTCCTCGCAGTGTCTCCACCGCAGGGCTCGGCACAGGACATGGGGTAACCGCCTGGCCAATGCTGGGCCCCCCTCTGCGAATACCCAACGTTTAGTACCAGCATGAGTATGGAGGAGGATGCGGATACTCAATCCATTTCCCAGATGAAACTGTACAGAGAGCAGTGTTGGACTGACTCCAACGCACCGTCAGAAACATGTGAAATGGTGTTTAACAAAATTAGTGAATGTACCATTTTCCGTCAAAGACAGAAAAGTTGCTAACGGTGCGGCTGAAAACATCGCCTCTGGCACTGCCTGGCACATGGGTGTTGTCATACTTGATAACGTCTGTGAGCACATGCACTCTTCAGACTTATTTAATGCCATTTCATAACTTCGGGTTCTCTGGAACTGGAGACTAACTGAGGCCCTGACCTGACTGCAAAGCACTGCATGATGACAGCCCATCACACGTACAGTAATTTGTATATTTCATTTCCAAAAAAGGGATTCCAATTTCTTCTCACCATTTCAAAAACATCTTTGCGATAGAGCTACTCACTAAAATATCCGTCATTACTTTGCATACCACTTTATTTAAATAAACTGTACTGATTTAAAGCTAGGCTACTATGTAAAGTAATTCCTACTGGTGCATGAACAGAGAAATCTCAGCTATGCTTCACCTGCCTTTTTTCCCCTTTTGCATTCACTTTACAGATCCTGCAGCAAACAGGTTTGCCAGAAGAGCTGATCAAGGACACGTCAGCATTCGGGGGAACACCATACACTTTTCACAGTAAGTATTTTTAGCACAACCATTGGCATCTGCAGGATAATTTCACATCTGAGTTTCCCTGCCCGAAAAGTTGCAATATGAGGACTTGCACAGACAAACAAAACCGAACCAACTCAGATTTGTCAGATGAAGCCTCTTCTCAGAAAGTCCCATGCACACCCTACAAACAATGCAGATGTCAAATAGCCATAAATATGAGATTTTGAAAATCTCAGCATGAACACCATAGGTTGTTCACAAGTGAGCAGATCAACCCTACATGGTATTGAAAACCTTTATTTTGTTAAGTGGCAGAACTATTATTTAAACGAACTGACACAAAGATCAGTAAAATAAATCCTGGATTGTTTAGAAGGAAAAAAGGGAGAGTTGAATATTCAATGAAGTTAGGGAAGGCTCAGGAAAACCGAGCAGCTGAACTCACAGGGGTGCAATTCAGGATGAAATGGAAGCACACGTGAATGTTGTCCCTCTCCTCAGCCACCAGGCTGGAGTCACTACAGAAACAGGCATCGTATTTAACAGCCTTGTTCACAAGCCCGATGGAGCAGCCAGAGGCCACACAGCTGACCAAAGGCAGACCAGCACTGACACTCGCCCACAGCCTTCAGTCCCAGTGGGGTGTTCCACCCTGTCAGACCTCCTGCCCTGCAGGTTCACCTGCACAGCATCTTACTCTGCTTTATTTTAGAGCAACGTTCTACTGCACCGTCACGGTTTGCATAGCAGTGAAATAGCCAGGGCCAGCACACAATCTGTTGCCCTGCCTTTCTTTGCGGGGAGGGGTGTGCGCTGGACCATAGAGCAGAAGAGACATGCAAAGAGCCTGCAGCATGCATGGTCCTTCTCCCCACACGTCTGACGAGGCACTTTTGGGTGAAGCAAGCCCTCAGTGCAGCTGTGCCTAGAGCTGATGCTGCGAAACCAGCCCCTCTGCCAAGGCCTTGTCTGCTCCACATGGTGCCAGCAAAAGCAAAGGTGGGGTTCAGGAAGCAACAGCATCCTTGTCAAAGTTGTGGTTTGAGCAACAAGCTAAACCTTCAGAAGTTACAGGCTACTTTATCCCGGGGGTGCAGTGACAAGCGTAGCATGACTGTATTTAACTGTCAGACTGCACAGCAAGTCCTGAAAGTGATTTTTTTCCTCATAAAGACATTAACCTTTCCCATGAAAACTGCAATCTTGTAACTCCTTTACAGCTCTATCCCAGAACCCTCATAATCTGGGGTAAGCTGGGTATCTGTCATTTGTCCTTGTAAATTTAGATGAAAGCAGTTTTTTCAACCAGATTTAAAGCAAGTTGGATAAAGATTTATCTATAATGAACACTTATAAATGGGATTCATCAACACTGAGTCTTACAATGTGTGTTCCTCTAATCTTGAATGTAATTTATAAAACTCCAAACTTGGCTATTTTTTTTAATATAATTTACATTATAAATAAAGGCATCGAGCTATTTAGCTGACAAGAACATGCTTGAGGTGGATTATTCCTTTAGCAGAAGAGAGAAATATTCTAGGGGGGAAAAAGAATAGGAAATAAGCCTCCAATAGTTTTCCTTCATGGATACAGAAACCACCAGCTGCTGCCACACCAGGCTCCTGTGCCTCAGTGCACCAGCCACACACAGCAAAGATCAATGGAAAGTCACAGTGGGGGTAGGCAAGGATGTGATGCCGATGACACCAAGCTGTGTGGTTCGGTTGATACGCTGGAGGGAAGGAATGCCATCCAGAGGGACCTTGACACGCTTGTGAGGTGGGCTGATGCCAACCTCATGAAGTTTAACCACAACAAGTGCAAAGTCCTACACCTGGAGTAATCCCAGACACAGCTACAGGCTGGGCAGAGAAGAGATTCAGAGCAGCCCTGCAGAGAAGGACTTGGGGGTGCTGGTCGATGAGAAAATGAACATGAGCCAGCTTCAGTGTCCTCTTGCAGCCCAGAAAGCCAATCGTATCCTGGGCTGCATCAAAAGGAGTGTGACCAGCAGGTCGAAGGAGGTGATCCTGCCCCTTTACTCTGCTCTTGTGAGACCTCACCTGGAGTATTGTGTACAGTTCTGGTGTCCTCAACATAAAAAGGACATGTATCTGTTGGAACAAGTCCAGAGGAGGGCCACGAGGATGATCAGGGGACTGGAGCAGCTCCCATATGAAGATCGGCTGAGAAAGTTGGGGCTGTTCAGCCTGGAGAAGAGAAGGCTGTGTGGAGACCTCATAGCAGCCTTCCAGTATCTGAAGGGGGCATATAGGGATGCAGGGGAGGGACTCTTCATTAGGGACTGTAGTCATAGGACAAGGGGTAATGGGTTAAAACTTAAACAGGGGAAGTTTAGATTAGATACAAGAAAGAAATTCTTTCCTGTTAGGGTGGTGAGGCACTGGAATGGGTTGCCCAGGGAGGTTGTGAATGCTCCATCCCTGGCAGTGTTCAAGGCCAGGTTGGACAGAGCCTTGGGTGATATGGTTTAGTGTGAGGTGTCCCTGCCTGTGGCAGGGGGGTTGGAGCTTGATGATCTTAAGGTCCTTTCCAACCCTAACTATTCTATGATTCTATGATACAGGATGCTATCACCCGGCCTGAGAGGAAAACCCTTTTTATTTTGTGACCATTGCACCCATTTCAGTGTGCTTCCACAGGCATCTACTAAAGTAGCTGCTCCTTTTGCAGCCAGGCATATGGCCCTCCCTGGACATCAGTCTCCAAGTAGAAGGCAGAGATGTGGTGCCTCAGGTGATGCCCTTTCTTCCCTCACCTTTGCCACTTAAAGAAACAAGACAAACTCCCCCGGTGTGACAAAGCAGTCGCCCCACATGTGCAAAACAGCTACAGTCTGGTTACCACCACTCCAGCATCTGTTTTGCCCTGTGTCAATCTTCCCTGCAAGCAAGGAATGGGAACCAGCCATGCAGTCCCTTGCCAGGGACCCTGAGGAATATGAGGGCTCAGCCCCAGCTGCCTTCTCCTCCAGCCTACAGCATTCCCTGCCATGCTGCAGCCAGCCCCATGCCCCTCCTCATGCCAGGGAGAACATGTATGTGCAGTGCCCATGCATTTGTTGGTGCAAGCATGCAGAACAGGATCTGGCCCAATTTGCATAGCAGCCAGAGCAGCTGGACACACCAAGGGTCTCTCTGCAGATCATCCCCTCAGCTTCAGCTGCCAGTGGTAAAGATAACCTCTTGCTGCACATGATCACTGCCGGGCTGGAGGGACACACGCAGTGAACTCAGCCAGGGTGAGCAGCAGAGATGGAAACTCAAAGCAGCTTGAATGCCTCCTTCCTCCTGGATCTGACAAACACGAAAGAGCCAGACCTGCTGCCCTCCAATCTCCTTTTGATGCACCAAAATAAACTATTTAACAGACGTGCAGAGTGAAGTTGGAGATAAATGAGGTTATGGAGCCAGTTCTATGCAACAGTCAGGTCAGTCAGCTATAGCGGTCACTTTTGTCCCTAGGAATCATCATGTCCACAGCA